TTACCCAAACAAGCTGAAAAGTTACATCTACATAAAAACCTGCACATGGGATTCTGTAGAAGCTTTATTCATTATTGTTGAAACAAAAAAGTCACAAAAGATGTCCTTCAGTAGGTGAATACATAAACTGTGGAAGAAATGAGTTATGAAGCCATGAAAATGCAGGAAGTAATCTAAAATAGATATCTGTTAGTGAAAGAAGCCAATCTGAAAAGGGCACATACTATATGATTCCAAGTGTGTAACATTCTGAAAAAGATAAAACTATAGACAATTAAAAAATCAGTGGTTACCAGTGGCTGGTGTTGGGGGAGAAGAGATGAGTAGATGGAGTATAGGGGATTTTTAAGCAGAGAAACTATTTTGTATGATTTTATAGATGTGGATATATGACATATGTAAACAAAGCAAAACAAACAAAAAGACTCTCCATACATTGCTTCATTCACCAGAGAAATAATGTTTGCACGAGAAACTGTTTGTTGGCTAATGCAGATGTGCATAACCATGTTTCTAGGTCCCTGCCATTCTATCATGTTTCACACTTATTTACCTGCTTGTGGCCACGTGTGAAAATACATTTGATCAGATGATTAGGGTATAGGGCAAGGGAAAGCACAAGTTACCTTGCCTACTGGGCCACTCACTTTGCCATCCTATCAACATGTGTTTCCACATTGGACCCTAAACACATCTAATTTAGCCTGTTCTGGGCCACTGTCTTCTACCCATATAATCCTTGCAAAGATATAATCCTTGATTCCAATTCTTCGATTAGATTGTATTAATTTTCTATTACTGCATAACAAATTAACATAAATTTAACACAATACAAATTTATCTCAGAGTTCCCAAAAGTCAGAGGTCTGAGTATGAGTTAGAGGGATCTTCTGCTCAGAAAGTCACTAGGCTAAAATCAAGGTGTCAGCTGGGGCTGCAGTCTCATCCAAGGTCACTGGATGTTGGCAGAATTAAATTTCCTATGGCCACAGGACTGAAGCCTTCAGCTCCCAGATGCCTCACACCATTTCCTACCATAAGCCCTTCTTCACAAGATGGCAGTTGGCTTCCTCAAGGTGAATAGGAGAGTATCTCAGTTGCTTTGAATCTCTCTGATTTCATTAAGGGCCCATAAAGGCTGATCTATTTAGGTCAGGTCCACTCTGGATAATTCCTGTTTGATCATCTCTGTCAACTAATAAAGGACTTCCATTATATGTGCAAAATCCTTCATTTCTGTAATATAACATAGCCTAATGATGAGAGCAAAATCTGTTAAACTCATAATATTGCCCACACTTAAGGTGTGAGGATTTCACATATATACTCTAGGGGGTTAGAAATCTTGGGGGCCATCTCAGAATTCTGCCTACCACCTAGATAATTAATCCTAATGATGTCAGATTAATTCTCCTAAATTAAGTTACTCACCATGTTATCCTTCTCTTAAAATAACCTTTGGCCCTGGCCATGTAGCTCAGTTAGTTGGAATGTTGTCCTAACATGCAAAGTTGCAGGTTCAATCACCAGTCAGGGCACATACAAGAATCAACCAAGGAATACATAAATAAGCGGAACAACAAATTGAAGTCTCTCTCTCTCTCTCTCTCTCACACACACACACATACACATATTCTTCTTCCCTCCCTCCTTCCCTTCCTTTCTCTTGCTCTAAAAACCAATAAAATAACCTTCAATAGTTCTGAAAAGTATAGGGAATAAACTCTAAAATCATTAGCTGGATATTCAAGGCCTTTCTCAGCCTTCCCCAGACAACATTTTAAACTTCTACTTCAGTAAGTCCTCCTCCAAGAGCCCTCAGTCATGCCCTTTGTTCCACCCATCCAGGCCCTTTGTGTTCTCTGTATCTGCATCCTTCTTGTACTCTTCCTCCAGCCTAATTTGCCCTCTTCCTTCCTCCTTCTTTTTTTTTAAGATTTAATTAATTTATTTTTTAGAGAGAAGGGAAGGGAAGGAGAGAAACATCAATGTGTAGTTGCCCCTCACATGCCCCCAACTGGGGGCCTGGCCTGTAACCTAGGCATGTGCCCTGACTGGGAATCAAGCTGGTGACCCTTTGGTTCAGAGACCCATGCTCAATCCACTGAGCTACACTAACCAGGGCCCTCCTCCTTCTTATTCAAAGCCTATATAGCCCTCAAAATGCTGCATCGGCACCTATACAAAACCTTTTCTGACTTATATGAAGCTTAATCTTCATATGAATGTGTCCTAAAGTAGTGAATTGCAAAAAATGACCATAAACTTCTCATCCCTGTGTGTTTACCCTTTTGCAATGTAACTTTGCCACTCACCTCATCAAAAAAGGCTGCATTTCTCTACCTTTTGACTCGGGGCAGGGCCCTGTGATTTTCTTTGGCCAACATGACAAAGAAACATATATTGTATGAGGAGAAAATATAAGCAGACACTTAAAAAGCATCTGTGTGCTGGAGCTTGCTTTCTTGCTGCCTTGAGAATCCTGTTACCCCTACCAGATGATTGGGCCTGCACTACTCTCCCATGTTATATCTGTGGCCCCAATTTGCACTGGGTCAACCACCTGCCACATGAAAAATAATAAATGTCTGGTGTTTTAAGTCATAGAGCTTTGTACCAACATTAACAGCAAACTACTTACTATTTAAGAATAAAAAGATTCAACATCCTCTTTTTAAACATTTTTTTTAACATTCACCTTCATTCCAGTATGCTTTCTTGTGAGAAGAGTTAATAATAGCTTGCAGAGAAGGATTATGTACATGTGCATAAAAACAGTCTGGTTTTCAATTATCTGCACATATGCATGGGAGAGAATCATGAAGCTTCTCAAAAATGCTTGACTTTCAAAGGTGGAAGCAACCCAAGTGTCCATTGACAGATGAATGGATAAACAAAATGTGGTATATCCATATACTCATATATGATCAAAAGGAATAAAATTTTAGCATATGAGGGTGACTTCCAAAAACCTGGAATGATCTTCTGAAGGGCAGGCTCCTTGTGTTATAGGCTTCCCCTGCTAGGTGGAAAAGCTCATGCTAAAGAGGAAAATAATAAGAGAACACCTCAAAAGCAGCAACAATGTTAACAGCTTAACCAGCAGCATTTAAAACAACCTTCAACCTATTTTTAGGGAGTACATTCACCACAGAAAATCAAAGACTCAAATTTGATAACACACACAGAAAACAATAATTACTGACTGACTTTTCATTCTGGGGGCATTTTATTAAGACAAATATTCAAAAGTTCTTGAAATGCCCTTATTTGGGAAAACTGTATCTCAAAATTCCAAGGAGCTTGGCTTTAGGGTCATAGGAAAAAGTCATTCATATAGGAGAACGAGAGATAAAACATTTTTTTTAAATATTTTATTTATTTTATTTTTAGAGAGGGAAGGGAGGGAGATAGATAGATAGAGAGAGAGAGAGAGAGAGAGAGAGAGAGAAACATCCATGCATCCGTGCAGTTGCTGGGGGTCATGGCCTGCAACCCAGAAATGTACCCTGGCTGTGAATTGAACCTGGGACACTTTGGTTCCCAGCCCGCGCTCAATCCACTGAGCTACGCCAGCCAGGGCGAGATAAAACATTCTTAATTCCACACAATACACAACATTTTTTCATTTCAGAAAAAGAATGACTCCTAGGTAAGTATACTAGTCTCCCAGTTAGCCTATAAAAATATTAACTTGTCCAATGAATTGCTATAAAAAGAAGCCTGCAAATATAAAACCCAAAACAGATACATTCTACCTCTAACAATAAAGTTTCTGATAATGTAGTACATTGATGCTCCTCTTTGATGTATTATTACTGGAAAAATTCATTTGGCTTGCTTCTGCAAAAAAAACAAATTTTCCAAGAACAGGCATTATGTTGGTTTTTCCATCCACAGAATAAGTACTTTGAACTTGGATGTGCCCTTAATAAATACTTTTTGAACACCAGTTAGATGTCAATCAGACTATAAATTAAACTTTTCACCAAAAATAGATAATGAATGGTAAGAAGCAATATATTAAAAGGTACAATGGTGCTTTAAAAGAGAACACATACCCTCATGTACAAGAATGCCCATTTGGCTTTTTACACTTGCAGGGACTGTTGAAAAGAAAGAATGACAGCACCTGGATGTAATAAAGTTCTGGGGGCCATGTGGGGTCCAGGAAGCTGAACAAAAAGTTTGCCGTAGTGGCCTATGTGTCACTTTATGCCCTTGGCCTTGGTTTCTTCATTTTCTAAAGATGATAATTTAGTTCGTTTACTTAAGTTCCTTCTACTCCTAAAAGAGTTTTGATACTAGTAGTGTTATTTTTATTGCAGACCTGGCTTTCAACTGTTTATATGTTGTCTATACAATTTTACCCAGTAACTCCAATCAATAGTAAAAAAAATCATATATGAGCTTTTATGAGTTAAATATTATAAGTGCTCAAAATATATAACATCGATGTTATTCTGATTTAACATTAAAGATTCCAATGTATTCATATTTACACTCAGAAAAGGAAAGCTGGCTTAGACACTCCCTTAGAAGAAATTATTAACTCATATTTAATCAAATGACAAAAATGATACTATATCGAGGAATGTAAGAATTAAGCAAATTAATTAGATACAAGTTCTTAGTCTCTAAAGCTGAATTCCTAATAAGTTTAGCTCTTTGATACTTTGCATGTTATCAGAACTTTAAAATGATCCATTTTCTAAAAGGATAAAGGATAGGGAGGGTAGGGGGAATAATTTATGAATTAACCAGAGATTGTTTGGATAAAATTATAAACTGTCAATCACCATGATTTCAATGATATTCAGATTTTTTAAGCTATTTCATAAAGCAGAACAAAAAGAAAATTATACTTTATCTAAAACACTATGAGACTTAAGGAACTTACACATTCATGGCTACATGTTCAGTAATACATTCCAAGTAGAATTGTCTCTAAAAATGTTTATAATTAAAAACAGAACAGTAAAAAAAATTGAATAGCTTACTCTCTTGTTGGTGAGTTAGTAGAGGATTCCTTTTTTGAATTAGGAGAACTTAGGGTTTGCATAATACAATTATGTTTTGCAGTGGATGGGGCATCTCTTTCTTGCTCAGAGTGGATTAATTTTAAGGCCTCTATTCCATCTTCTCCCTCCATCATGTCATCTGGATTTTGTTGTGGTTCTGGACTCTTTAAAATCAGATCATCTTCACTTTCAGAAACTGTGAGGTCACTGCTGCTCCTCAAACTTTCCTCCTCCTGCTCTTCCTGTACTTTTCTGAAGGGCTTCTGTGATTCTGGGTCCCCATGAAGACAATGATCTATGAGGGGATATGAATAGATTACTGATCACTAACTTCAGGGATAAGCAAATAACACATCCTACCTCATAGACGGAATTACTTCATCAGTTAAAAACATGTAGTAACAATTCACAACTCATTATAGTATTTGAAATCTCATTAAAATATTTAAAAATATCACAGTGAGTTTAAAATTAAGAAAATTTGTTTGCAAAAATATTTCCACACATATTTAAGAATTCATTAGAGTGATTTTTTTTTTTGGAAAAGACATTACTTTGTCTTTTGACAAAGAGAGTAAAATTAGAGTGTATTTTGTTCTTACATAAGACTACTACTAACCAGAAAAACTAAATACCAACAACAATCAGCAAAGACTCACAGCCTCTCACCCCACCTGAGAAACCTTCCCCAGCAGAATGCTTCTCTTGAGAACACTTATTTCCAGATGCACAGTGTTCTAAGACTGAGATCGGAGAGACGGGCAGTCTGGCTCTTTCTTCCTTGACTTCAGTATATTCTCGTGTCAGTATTTCTCCCTCTGATCCCTCTGATCGGCTGGAACTGTCACACTTTAAATCAGTGGTTCTGTTCTCTGGACTTAATCTTTCCTGTAACGAGGAATGGAGTTCAGCGGACTTTTTGCCTTCAGATAAATTACTCTTGCCATGACATGTGTTGCTTCTTATCTCCAAGCAATAAGTTTCTTCCTCCTCAGACAATGAGCTGGCTGTGATTAGCATTTTCTCACCAGTCTGAAGAGATGTCTTTCCATCTATTTTGTCAGACTTATTTAAGCACTGTGTGTCACTATTAGTTTGTACTACATAGCTGTCTTGTCACGTTACTGTTCTGGGCTGTCTGTTGGTATGAATGTGGGTCAGGAATTGAAAAGTTCTTTGTGGCTTGGGGAGATTTCTGCACTGTACTAAAATCTCCAATGCTTGAGATGGCTGACATTTGGTGGCCCATAGGATTGTTGTTGATTGATACAATCCTCTTGACACAGCTGTCCCTGAGTTAATTCCTGCCTGCACTGCCACTTGCAGCACCAAAAGAGATGCAAGTTAAACATATTGTGTACCAACAATTAGGTTGCTCAAGCTGTTTTCACAAATGAAATGAAGTAAAGAAACATGACTAATAAAATCAACACCCATCACACTTTATAAATCTTATAGCTTCCTTCAAAATACATGAGCAAAACCCAGTATAATCCACACTACTTAATTTTAATAACAACATTGACTCATAAAGCAAATATTTTTTGGGAACTATGAAATCTATATTTTTCAAAAAGAGATGTATACATTGCATAAAAATGTAAATGTACTTAATTTCACAGAATTGTACACTTAAACATGGTTAAAATGGTAAGTTTTATGTATATTTAACCACAATTTTTTTTAAAGCCATGCATAAAAACTACTTTTCACAGAGACATTTGAAACTGATGGAGCTAGGGAGGTACTTGACCAAAAAAAAGAGAGAGGGAGAGTGAGGCAGAGAGGGGAAATATAAAGGACTACTGTAGGTTTCAAAACTCTATTTCCAGTATTATGTATAATATTTTAAAACTTTTAATAATCACATTTAGGACTGCATTAAAATATACTGCACATGTGTAAAATAATCATAATTTCCACTTAAGGGTAAATAACAATAATAGTTTTTCCTGAACATCTTCAAATACTTTTTAGAATAGTTAAATTTACTCATACGTCTACGGGGAGAAGGGCATTTTCTCTTCCTTAAAAAAAAAGAGAGGAGGAAGAAAAGGGGAAAAGGAAGGGAAACATAAGCAATTGGTTCAGTGGCTTAAGAATACACAGTGGGAACCAGAAATGGAAGTAACAATTATGAAGTTTTTCTTCAAAAGGGACCAAAGCATCTCCACATACATAATAGTGTTTAGTTCACAGAGTCCTACAGAGTTGATGGGAAAATGTATTTGCATCCCTCCTTTGTAGATGGAAAACTGAGGCCCAAATTTAGAGAGAGAAAAGAGAAAATGTCATATGCATAGTTGAAATAGAATCCAGGTCTTCCTTCTCTTCAAAGATACCATCTCTTCTATGCCCCAAAATGAAAGAAACAACTTTGAAGTTAAAGACAAATGAACAGAGATGCCAGAGAATGGCAGAATAAGGACCTCTCAAAATTCTCTGTTCCATAAAACAAATAATAACACTGGAAAACATCTTTAGGATAACTTTGAAAAACTCTGGGATTTAACCGAAGGCTTGCAGCTAACTAGGGAGAATTTATGGTGTTTATAACTTGCTTGATTCCCATTTTCCCCTCAAATCTGTAGTAACCTTGAAAACTAGTAGTCTGTAATCACAGATTGTAAAACAGCATCCTAGCAGACACTGAATGGAGTAGAGAAAGGATGAAACTCCTTCAAAGCTCTATTCCCAGAAAACTGTCACCATTTGAACTGTGTGGTGGTTTCCTGGTAGACAGCACTCACCAGACTGTCTTTATTTGACCTGACTTGGAGCTGACACATTGTAAATGGCCATTTCCCTGGGGAATTTGTTGATAATAATCAGAGACAAATTTTTACTATTGGGGTTTCCTAAGGCAGTAGATGACGGACAAACAACAGGCTAACTAAACAATCTTAAAAAGAAAACTGGTGAATGAGATATCTATATGGGGCTTTCAAATCCTTCAACATATTTCTGGAAATCTAGATGAGCAGTCACATGTGAGGCTGTGAGCATGCTCAGGAAAAGTTCTAAGAAGTGTCTGAGCTCTCACTTCAGGTTTACCTTGAAACTCTGTGCAAGCACAAAGGGAAGGCTAAGGTGGAGTTGTAAATTGCCTGGATGAGTATTGAAGGTATGCTCAAAAACACACTCAAAGTGAAACTTACTGATTTTAGGCATTTAAAGAAAGTTCCATCTGATCCTTAGCTGGTCACCAAACTAATTGAACAGAAACCTCATTGACCATACATGACAAAGAATACAGACTTTACATAGTAAGTTCAGAGAATTACTAAGCAAACAAATAGAAATAACAAATTCTCAGAGTGAGACTATCTTATGTTCAGAGTAGACATTTTATTTAAAATGTTCCAACTCCATCAAAAAATTATGAGACATTAAAGGGAACAAGGAAGTATGGTTATACACTGGGAGGAAAAAACAGGAAGCCAAGATGGTGGACTAATTAGATAAAGGCTTTAAATTAGCCATTTTAAATATCTTCAAACAGCTAAAGAAAATCATATCTAAAGGTGAAAGGTAAGTTTTCAAAGAATGTCTAAACAGAGACTATCAAAAAAGAGATAAAAATTATTTTTAAAAAAGAATGAAAAAGAAATTCTGCAGTTGAAAGGTAAAGTCACCAAAATAAAATATTCCCTACAGTGCACCACATTAGATATGAACAGGCAGAAGAAAGAATCAACAGATCTTTATATAGGTCCATTCAGATTATCCAGATTGAGAAAAAGAAAGAAAAAAGAATGCAGAAAGTTTTAGAGTTTCAGAGACCTATGGGATGCCATCAAGCATATCAACCTATGTATAATGAAAGTCTCAGAAGGAGAAGATAAAGAGAAAAGTGCAGAAAGAATTTGAAAAAATAATGGTTAAAACTTCTCAAATTTGATAAAAAGCATTATCCTATACATCCAAGAAGCTCAATACAGTCAAAGTATAATAAACTCAAAGATATCTTCACCCAAACACATCATAACCAAACTACTGAAAACCAAAGAAAGAAAGAGAGTCTTGAAAGCAAAATTAGAGAAGTTACTCTTCACAAACTAGGCATCCTCAAAATGATTAACAGGTGACTTTTCATTGGAAACCATGGAGGCCAGTAGGTGATAGGATAACACAATCAAAATGCTGAAAGAAAATGACCGTCAATCAAGAATTCTATATCTACCAAAACTTTCCTTCAAAAATGAAGAAGTTAGGCATTTTTCATTAAACAAAAACAGACAATCTGTCACTTTACACCTGTCCTAAAAAAAATACTATATGAAGCCCTTAAGGCTGAAATGAGAGGACTACACATCAGCTCCAAGTCCACATTAAGAAATAAAAAGTACTGGTAAGGGTAGGTCTATAGTACATATAAAAGATAGCATAAATATATTTTTGTTTGTAACTCTTTTCTCTCCTGTACAATATAAAAGAAAATTGCATTGAGCGATGATTATAGATCTATGTTGATGAGTAGCATGTAAGATATAAAGACATAGTTGCATTACAATAATGTCACAAAAGAGCAGGAAAGGGTTGGAGTTATAAGAAGCAAAGTTTTTGCATGCTATTGAAATTAAGTTGGTATCAATCTAACTTAGGTTACTATAAACTAAAACATAAATTAGATCACCAGGATCTGCACATTAAAAGAAATGACAGGTAATTAAAATGGTTCTAGAAAATATATATTAATGCAAAAGAAGGCAGTATGGATAATTACAGAAACTATATATATATATATAACAATTCCTACCTTATCTGTAATTACATTAAATTTAAATAGATTTAACAATACAATTAAAGTTAGACACTGGCAGAATGAATTAAAAATCATGATCTAACTATATGCTCTCTAACAAGATTATTTTAGATTCAAAGACATAAACAGGTTAAAACATGGAATGAAAAAGATATATGAACAGAGCCCAGTGGAAAAATATAAACTATGCAAACAGTAACCAAAAGAAAGCTGGAATAGGCATGCTAATATCAGACAAAATAAGATTTAAGACTCAAAATTGTTGCCTGAAACAAAGGACATTTTACAATTATGAAAGGTATAATTTGTGAAAAAGATATTATAATTAGGAACATCTCTGTATATCTAACAACAAAGTCCTAAGAAATAGATAAAGCAAAAACTTAGAGAACTAAAAAAAGAAATAGACAATTCAACAATAATAGTTGGAGATTTCAATATTCCACATTCAGTAATGGATAAAACAACTAGAAAGAAGATCAATAAGGGAATAAGAACTTGACAACTACAAACCTAGACCTAACAGACATACAGGAGACTCCACCTACCAATAGCAGAATACACAGACCACATATTCTTCTGAAGTGCACATGAAACATTTTGCAGGATATGTTATGTTAAGCCACAAATCAAGTCTAAATAAATTAAAAAGGATTGAAATTATGTTCTCTGATAATAATAGAATGAAATTAGAAATCAATAAAAGATGAAAGCTCAGCAAATTCACAAGTATGTGGAAAGCAAAAAACAACTCCTAAATAACTAATGAATGATTTGAAGAAATCACAAGGAATATTAGAAAATAGTTTGAAATGATTGAAAAGGAAAACATAACATAGTAAAACCTATGAGTAGCAACACTTAAAGAGAAATTCATAGCTGTGAAAACCTATATTTAAAAAGAACTCAAATCAATAATCTAAACTATGCTAAAAATTAAAAAAGAACAGCAAATTAAATCTAAAGCAAGCAGAAAGAAGGAGATACAGTCCTCACTCAGTATCTGCAGGTGATTGGTTCCAGGACCTGTTGAGGACACCAAAATCTGCAGTTGTTTAATTCCCATATATAAAGTGGTGTAGAACAATGCATACAGTTGGCCCTCTGCATCCGTGGATTCCCAACCATGGACGAAAATACTGTTTTCAATGCATAGTTAGTTGAAATGTGAAACCTTGGAATGTGAAACCTGTGCATAGATAGGGCTAACTGTAATAAAAAATTAGAGCAGAAATAAATGAATTAGAGAACAGAAAAGCACTAGAGACAATCAATAAAACCAAAAGTTGTTTGAAAAGATCAACTGATTGACATACCTTTAGGTAGACTGACCAAGAAAAAGAGTAAAGATTTAAACTACTAAAATCAGAAAGTTGTACTTTGTTAGCCAACCTTACAGGTATAAAACTACTATAAGGGAACACTTATGCCAACAAATTCGATAACCTAGATAAATTCAACAAATTCTTTTTTTCAATTTTTATTAAATTACTGGGGTAACATTAGTTAATAGGATCATATAGGTTTCAAGTGTACATTTCTATGATACAAGATATATTACACTGTGTGCCCACCACCCATAGTTAAACCATCTTTCATCACCATATACTACACCATCTGCATTCCCCCACCCCCCAACTCGATCCCTTTGGTAACCACCACACTGCTGTCTGTTTGACAAATTTTTACACATACACACACTGCCAAAACTGACTCAAGAAGAAACAGAAAATAAGGATAGACCTATAACATGTTATGAGATTGAATTATAAAAACTTCCCACAAAGAAAAGTCCAGGACAAGAAATCTTCATGAGTGCATTCTATCAGATGTTTAAACAAGGAACACTAATCCTTCAAAAACTGTTTTAAAAACAAAGAAGAAATACTTCTCAACTCATTCTATGATGCCACTCCCTCACACTGAAACCAGACAAAGACATCAAAAAAAGGAAACTAAAGACCAATATTTCTTATTAATATAGATATGAAAATATTTTTTGCATCCCTGGGTGGGCACAAACCAATGAAAAAATTCTTAATACTAACAGACCAAATTCAGCAACATGGAAAAGAGATTGTACACAAGGACTAAGTAGGACTTATACCAAGAATGACAAAAATCAAATAATGTAATATATTAATAAAGGCAAAACTTCAAATGATCTCCTTAGATATAGAAAAATATCCATAGATATCTCCATAGATATAGAAAAATCATTAAAGTCCAACATGTGTTCATGACAAAAAGTAACACTCAACAAGCTAGAAATAGAAGGAACTCCTTCAACCTGATAAAGCAGATCTACAAAAACCCACCAGCTAACATCATAGTCAATGGTGAAAGACTGAAAGCTTTCTTCCAGGATTAACACAAGAATGTCTACTCTTACCACTTCTGTTTAACACTGTACTGTGGATTCTAGCTAAGGCAATAAAGGGGAAAAAACAGAAAGAAAAAATAAAAGAAAGGAAAGGCATCTAGATCACAAAGGAAGAAGAAATACTATTTTTTTGCAATGATATGATCTTGTATAAAGAAAAACCTAAGGATTATGCAAGAAACAATCAGAACTAGTAAACAAGTTAAGAAGGTCGGAGAATCTAAGATCAGTATACAAATACAAATAATGTATTTCTACACATTAGCAATAACAATCCAAAATTGAAATTAGAAAACAATTTCATTTTTCCAATAACACCAAAAAGAATAAAACACATAAGAATAAATTTAACAAAGAAGTATAACACTTGTATACTGAAAAATACAAAATATTTATAAAAGAAGTAAAGACCTAAATAAAAATGGAAAGATATTCTGTATTCAAGGAACTTAAGACTTAATATTGTTAAGATAACAACACTCCCAAACTGATCTACATAATCAATGCAACCTCTATCAAAACTCAACTGACATTTTTGTAAAAATCAGCAAGCTAAAATTCGTTTGAAAATACAAGGAACCCAGAATAGCCAAAACAATTTTCCAAAAGAAGAGCAAAGTTGGAGGACTCATACTTTACAATTTCAAAACTTACTGCAAAATTAGGGTAATTATAGACTGTACTGGCATAAGGATAAACATATAGATCAATGAAACAAAACTGAAACTTGAAAAATAAGTTCATGCATCTAGAGTCAACTGACATTTTTGGAGACATTATTTTCAAAGCAGCTTTAGGTTAAGTTCAAGGCCAGAAGGGGCTGAAATGGTTACTTCCCTTCCTCCACATTTTAAAAAAATTTTATTCATTTATTTTTAGAGAGAAGAAGGGAGGGAGAAAGAGAGGGAAAGACACATCCATGTGTGAGAGAAACACAGACTGGCTGGTTGCCTCTTGCATGTGCCTCACCTGGGGACCTGGCTAGCAACCCAGATATGTGCCATGACTGGACATCAATGGGCAACCTTTCACTTTGTGGTAAGATGCCCAACTAACTGAGCCACACCAGTCAGGGCCCCTTCCTCCACATTTAAAGGCTATTATTATTGAGTTGTAAAAATGAATGAAATCTTGCTGTTTGTGGCATGGACAAACCTCAAGGGGATTATGCCAAATAAATAAATCAGACATGATCTCTCTTATATGTGGAAGCTAAAGAAAAGAAAAGAAAAGAAAGGAAAACCAAGGTCATAGAAACGAAGAATAGACTTATGGTTGCCAGGTGTGTGTGTGTGGGAAGGAACAGGGGGTGCAAAATGGGTATACTTTTAATATTTTTTTAGTTTAAATAAATTGAAAAAATATTGGGAGTTGGCAGAAATAACAAAGCAAATGAATGTGACCAAAAATACTTATTAGTGAACAGACGGCAACTTTTAAAATTAAGAGTTCATCTTTGCTGAGGGAACAGGGAACGAATATATTTGAGGAGGTATTAACAAGCTTTGAATTAATATAATGATGTCTTAGTTAATCATTATTAACTACCATTTTTAAAGCAGGTGAATCTTGATCATTATTATACTTTCAAACATATATTTATTGATATGTTATACCTTATGAAGAAGTCTTTACTTTTTCTTAATATATTATTTTTTATTCACAGATAAGGGAATTGGGAAGTATCAAGGTGCATGCAGAATGGAAATGAAGCTGTCAGACCAAATTTCTAGCTTTTCATAGAGTACAATTATTGTTCTTAGTTTCTATTTAAGCAAGTCCTTAAGTCACACTAATATTTCAGAAAATCTCTTAATAAAAATTTACATATAACAATCTTAAAGAAGTTATTTCATTTTACTATGTGTTACAAACTGAATTGTATCCTCTCGAAGTCATGTTAAAGCCCCAGGCCTCAATTTGACTGTATCTGGAGATGCGGTCCTTAAGGGGGTAATTAAGTTTACATGAAGTGATAAGGGTGAAGCCTCAACCCAATATAATACTGGTGTCCTTAGAAGAGGAAGAGACATCAGAGATCCATCTCTGTCCATGCACATGCACAGAGAAGAGGCCACATGAGGACTCAGAGCGAAGGTGGCCATCTGAAACTCAAGGAGAAAGGTCTCATCAGAAACCAGCCTTATGGCACCTTGATCTTGGACTTCCCAGCCTCCTGAAGTGTAAGAAAATAAATTTCTGAAATAGAGATTCTGGAATATGGCAGTGAGGTAGGTGGCAGCTGTACCCACTTGCTTATGCACCCAACTGGGACACCTAGTTGATTTTCTGAAGAACAGAGTGAACAGCCAACTGAATCCCAGCTATATGAAGTTTGGAAGCTAAAATTGTAGAGGACGTTGAAAAACAGAAGGTAAGGAGATTACATTGGGATGGAGAGGTCCCTGGGACTTGCATGGGACCAAGGCTGCTGTAGTCCCCAGCCTGCAGCCTGGTGCCAGGTTTGGTGGCTACTGCAGGAGCTTTGGAGGATAGTAGAATATGCAATTGTAACTCTGCAGCCTCCACCCCCTACCAGAGCAGGGAAGGCAGCCCACACCAGGAAAGACCTGGATGCCTGAAGTCACTTCGGGAATAAAGATGCAGTGGGAGATGCACAGAGGTGATGTTCCCTACTGAGACTATAGTCACCGGCTAGGACATTACCCGAGAAACTGGGGAGCTGGGTGACACCTGGAGAAGGGAGAAGAGTTGGGCCATGATGCACCCTGACCCGGATAGTTTCCAGACTGGTTAGAAAGTTGGGCTGTGTGAAAAGCCAGGTGCTTTGAAGAATGGCAGGCACAAACAAGAGCAATTTACTCAAAAAATAAATAAATAAGAAAAGGCTCTCAGCCACTGTTTAAGTAATTCTTATGCATTGGCTGGGCCATCAAAGAGGGAGGAGGAGGGGCACGATTTGCTCCAAATCAGTGCACCTCTTGGGCAACATAACATGGTGGATTAAAGACACCAGCCTGGTATAGATGGATAGTGGGGGCCTAGCAGCACTCTAAAGGCCTAGGCTGGAAGCTGGGCACCTGTGAATACTGCAGTCCAGACCTAGCCCCCATCCTCACAAAACCACAGAAAAAAAAAACATCGAAGCCCAGGCCCCCTTTTACTGCAGCATCCAGGAAGACCAACAGAACTCACCAGCAGGTTTAAAGTCAGCAAGAGGCTTTTTTTTTAATTTCTTTTTTCCCCCAAGTGTGAGACAATAAAACCTGGAGCATAGAAGGACTAAAGACAGATCCAAAGAGGGATCACAAGGCTAACACCAATAACTGAGAAACTGAGACAAATTTCACTTTGCTATCCTATAGAACTTCTATTTTATTGTTTATTCTTATTAATATTTTTCATTATTTTTATTTCTTTTATTTTGATATTATTTTTTATTTCTCTTCTTTCTGTTTAGTTTTCTTCATCTTGTTTGTTTAATTGCATTGTTTGACTGGTTTTCCCTGTTCTCTTTCATAGTGTATTTTAATTGTTCTCCTTTCACTTCACTAGTGTTTCAATAACACATTACTCTTGGTCTTTTACTCTCTTTCAGATCATATATTTCTTCTCATATTACTGTTGTTCCAGTATTATTGTAAATAATTGTTGTTCCATATAATTGTAAATACTACACAGCACCCCTCCCAGGTCTTGGCCTATTTCCCTATCTTCCTGAGCTTTATCACTATTGTAGTTAACTCTATTCTCTTGCACACTATGCCTAGTTTCTATCCTTTACTCTCACTATATCTCACCACCTAACCTCACACAAGCACTCTGTTTTCTGGATTCTGCTCACATTCCTTCTCCCCTCTAAGAGTCTTATCTCTTTTAACCTTTTATAAAAATTCACTAGTTGGGTGAAATATCATAGTTATCACTGTACTTCTCCAAAGGATCTCCTATCTGTTCTCTACTTGTTGGTACTTTAAATCCCATAGAATACTCTCCTGCTGTCATAATCCATTTTGCCCTCACCCTGCCACTGACCACATACAAGATAAGGTAGGAGTTGCGAACACCAGTAAACCCGCTGGAGGAAAGAACCCACCAACAAAGGAGCCACGAACAGATAAAACCCAAGTACAATAAGAGAGCCCACACAAACAAGAAAGGGCAACCCTAGAACATCCACACAAAGAGATCAAAGAAACCACACCACTGAATCCCACAGGACTCCTACCATAGAACTTAACCCTACAAAGATGGATAGCAAAGCAGAGCATCAGGAAACACAGAAACAAACAAAAATAGTCACCTAAAATGGGGAGCCAAAGAAAGAACCTGCAATCAAAAGGAATGGAAGACTCCCCACTAAAAGAGATAAATGAAATGGAGGTAAACAAACTATCAGATATAGAACTCAAAAGAATGGTTATAAGAATGCTCAAGGAACTCACAGAAAACTACCAGGAACTGAGTGAGAACTACAATGGTATGAAAAAGGAAATAGAAACCATAAATGAGAACCTGGAAGAAATGAAGAACACAGTTTCTGAAATAATAAACACATTAGAAGGAATTACAAGCAGGCTGGATGAAGCAGAGGACCAAATTACTAAGTTGGAAGACAAGCTGGAAGAAACACCCAGGTAGAGCAGCCGCACTAAAGAAATATGAAGATAGCTTAAGGGAAGTGCAAGACAACATGAAACGCAAGAACATTCAAATCATAGGAATACCAGAAGGAAAAGAAAAGGAGGAAGGAATAGGAACCCTGTTTGAAAAAATAATGACAGAAAACTTTCTGAATCTGGAGAGGGGAAAAACCACACAAGTTCAGGAATCACAGAGCATCCCAATGAAGCTGAACCCAAAGAGGCCTATTCCAAGACACATCATTTTTTTAAAAAAGGCCAAGTGTTAAAGACAAAGAGAGAATATTAAAAGCAGCAAGGGAGAAACCAGAAGTCACATACAAGTGGGCTCTGATAAGGCTAGTAGCTGATTTCTCAACAGGCACATTACAGGCCATGAGAGAATGGCAAAAAAAGTATTCCAAGTAATGAAAAGCAAAGGCCTGCAACCAAGACCAATCTACTCAGCAATGCTGTCAATTAAAATGGAAGGTGAAAAAAGGAGTGTCCCAGACAAAAGAAGGCTCAAAGAATACATCTCCAGCAAACCAGCACTGCAAGATATGCTAAAGGAACTGTTATAAGAAGAGGAAGGAAAAGAGTGAGAGAAAGAGGAACACAGGTACAAAGTGGGAAAAATGAATAAATACCTATCAATAATAACTTTAAATGTAAATGGATTCAATGCTCCAATCAAAAGACTTAGAGTAGCTGAATGGATAAGAAAACATGACCTGCAAACATGCTGCCTACAAGAGGCCCAACTCAGAAAAAAAAAAAAAAAAGATCTACACACTGAAAGTTAAGGTTAGGAAAAAAATATTCCAAGCAAATGGACAGAGAAAAAAAGCTGGAGTAGCAATAATTATAATCAGACAAAATAGACTTCAAAAGAAAAGTCACAGAAAGAGACACTGAAAGACACTCATAATACTCAAAGGAAGAATCCATCAAGAAGACATAAACATTGTAAAAATGTATGCACCTAACATAAGAGCACCTGAATATATGAGTAAAATCTTGGAGGACTTCAAAAAAGATACAGACAACAGTACACTTATACTAGGGGAATTTAACACCCCACTGTCAACAATGGATAGGTCTTCCAAACAAAAGAGCCACAAGGATATTGCAGCATTGAACAATGCCCTAGATCAAATGGACTTAACTGATATATATAAACCCCTTCATTCCAAAGAAGCAGTATATATATTCTTTTCAAATACACATGGAACATTTTCAAAGATAGACCACAAAATAAAATATAAAACCAACCTCAACAAATTCAAGAAAACCGAAATCACATCAAGAATCTTCTCAGACCACAAGGGACCAAAATGAGAAACCAACCTCAAGGAAAAAACTAAAAAAACTGAAATTCATGGAGATTGAATAGCATGCAGTGAATGGGTTAATAGTGAGATCAGGAAAGAAATCAAAAAGTTTCTGGAAACAAATGAAAAATGAACACACAATAGTCCAAAACCTATGGAACACAGCAAAAGCAGTCCTGACAGGGAAGTTCATAGCAGTGTAGGCCAACCTAAAAAAAATAGAAACATTTCAAATAAAAAATCTAACCCTTCATCTGCAAGATCTTAAGGAACAATGACAAACAAAGGCCAGAGCCAGTAGAAGGAAAAAAATAACCAAGATCAGAGCAGAATTAAATGACATAGAGACTAAAAGAATAATTCTAACTATCAATAAATCTGGAAGCTGGTTCTTTGAAAAGATAAGTGAAATTGGCAAGCCTTTAAGCAGACTAATCCAGAAAAAAGAGAGAGAGGACCCAGATAAACACAATTAGAAATGAAAGAGGAGAGATTACAACTGACACCACAAAGGATTGAGAGAAATTACTACAAACTATATACCAAGAAATTTGAAAACCATGGTGCAATGGACAAATTTCTAGAAAAATATAATCTCCCAAAACTGAATGAAGAAGAAGCAAAAGCCTAAAGAGACTGATAATAGATGGTGAAATCCAAGAAGTAATCAAAAACTCATGGCACACAAAAGCCTTGGACTGGATGGTTTTACAGGAGAATTTTACAAAACTTTAATGGAAGAGCTAACCCCTATGCTTCACAAACTATTCTAAAAAATCCAAGAAGATGGAAGACTCCCAAACTCTTTTTATGAAGATGGCATCATCCTAATTCCAAAACGAGATAAATTACTTCTGGCCAATGTACTTGAGGCTTATGTAGAAACACTGTGTCTCCTTGCACAACCAAAAGAAGGACAACAGTAAATTTTAAAACAAAACACAACCAGAACTGACAGAAAATTGAATTCTATGGAATTCTGACAACCAAGGAGTTAAAGAAGAAACATTCATCCAGACTGGTAGGAGGGGTGGAGATGGGCAGCCGGGCAGAGGAGGACTCATGACAAGGCAGTGGCTGGTGGAACGGGGCAGGCAAGGCAGCAGCTGGTGGACTGGGCAGTCCCACATTCGCATACAGATAGACCGGGAAGAACAACTGGGAGCAAGATAGATTGTGCAACCCTGCGCAGGAAATAAAGCCTCAAACCTCTGATTGAAAACACCTTTGGGGGGTGAGGTGGCAGTGGGAGAAACTCCCAGCCTCACAGGAGAGTTCTTTGGAGAGATCCACAGGGTGCTAGAATGTGCACAAACCCAACCACTGGGGAATCAACATCAGAAGGGCTTAATTTGCTTGTGGGTAGCAAAGGAAGTGACTGAAAACCAGCAGAGAGCGGAGCAAGCACCATTGTTTTCTCTTGGATCCCTGCCCCCCACAAACAGCACAGTGACATGGGTTGTACTGCCCTAGTGAACACCTAAGACTCCGCCCCTTCATATGTAACAGGTGCACTCAGACCCGCCCCCCAAAAATGGCCCAAATGAAAGAACAGATCAAAGCTCCAGAAAAAATACAACTGAGCAATGAAGAGATAGCTAACCTATCAGATGCACAATTCAAAATATTGGTAATCAGGATGCTCACAGAATTGGTTAAACATGGTCACAACTTAGATGAAAAAATGAAGGCTATGCTAAGTGTAAAAAAGGAAAATGCACAGGGAACAAACAGTGACAGGAAGGAAGCTGGGATTCAAATCAATGATTTTGACCAGAAGGAAGAAGTAAACATTCAATGAGAACAGAATGAAAAACAATAAAAAAAAATGACAAGAGGCTTAGGAACCTCCAGAACATTTTAAACATCCAAATATACAAATCATAAGAGTGCTAGAAGAAGAGGAAGAGCAACAAACAGAAAATGAATTTGAAAAAATAATGGAGAACTTCCTAAATCTCATAAAGGAAACAGACTTCCAGGAAATCAAGGAAGCTCAGAGAGTCCCAAAGAAGTTGAACCCAAGGAGGAACACACCAAGGAACATCATAATTAAGTTACTCAAGATTAAAGATAAGGAGAGAAAATTAAAAGCAGCAAGAGAAAAGGAGACAGTTACCTATATGGGGAGGAGTTCCCATAAGACTATCAGCTGATTTCTCGAAAGAAACCTTGTAGGCAAGAAGGGGCTGGAAAGAAGTATTTCAAGTCATGAAAGGCAAGGACTTAACATCCAAGATTACTCTATCCAGTAAAGCTATCATTTAGAATGGAAAGGCAGGTAAAGTGCTTCCCAGATAAGGTCAAGTTAAAAGAGGTTATCACCACCAAGCCCTTATTATATGAAATGTTAAAGGGACTTATCTAAGATGAAGAAGATAAAAAATATGAACAATAAAATGACAACAAAGTCACAGTTATAACAACCGAACCTAAAACAAAAACAAAACCAAAAACAAACTAAGCAAACAGCTAGAACAGGAACAGAGTCACAGAAATGGAGCTCACATGGAAAGTTATCAGTAGGGGAGTGAGAGGGGAAGAGAAGGGGAAAAGGCACAAAGAATGAATAGCATAAATGGTAGGTAAAAGATAGACAGGGGTAGGTTAAGAATAGTATAAAAATGTAGAAGCCAAAGATAGTATATGTACGACCCATGGACATGAACTACAGTGTGTGTGTTGGGGGAATGAGGGTGAGAGGGGGTGTTCAGGGTGGAGGGGAATAAAGTGGGGAAATGGAACAACTATAATAGCATGCATAAT